TTTAAACTGCGCTTGTGGGAGGCAACCCATCTTTGTAAATATGTTTTTTGCTTTTATGTTTTTGTTTTTTTTGTCTTCGCAGGATTGTCATGTTTGGAAACTCATTAACTAGTCCAGGCTACGCCTATGCATGCTTCACAAACTCTGTTATGACAGCCCCACCATTGTTCCTCAGGTTGTATCTCTCCACCTTACATGCATTATTGTTAGATTTCTTGTTTCTCAATATGTTGGAGGATTTTAATGTCATTGATCATATTGCCATTTGAGATCTTTTGATGCTAAGTGGGGGAGGATATTTGTAGTTGTGGGTCATTGAGGACAATACATTTGAAGTTGGGGAGTGTTGATTTGATTTTATTTTTTGTGAGTGTTGTTGAGGATTTGTGAGTTGTGTATTTTTGTGAAGTGTTATTGATGATGTTTTGGAGAGTGTGCTTAAATTTTTGTGGCATGATGATGTTTTTGTTGAAAATATGTTGATCTTATTCTTGTAAGTCCAAATGTTATGAACTAAAGTGTTATTTTTAAAAAATTTTTCATGAATTCATGCATATCACCATTTTAGAAGCAATTAAATGCTAGTTGAAAGGTTTTGTGAGGTTTTTGAAATTTTTTGTGTCAACATGGTGGTTTTAAACTGAACTTATGTTCTTGTTTTGTGCTAGTTTGTCCATAATTGTGGTTAGACACTGTTTTGTGTAAATTCGTAGTGTTTTAGAAAAACTAATTTCATGGAGCAAATTTCATGTTATTATCTTGCCTGTATTAAATGTCTTAATGTTGCTTGATGATTTGGTTATGATTGTAGCCTAGTTGACTCGAGTGAGTACGCTCGAGGGTGTCTACACCTAATCCCCTAAAGCTATCTAGCTTGGGAGTGGTTGGCCTAAAGCTCGTTACATGGGTCCTCTAGAAAGCTTAGAAATCATTACATAGATCAGGAGCTTTATAAAAAAAGAAAAGAAATAAAGAAATAAAGTCTGACTTGTCCTAGTTGGTTCGGGTGAGAAGTCGAGGAGTGTTTTACATTTAGTGCCCTAGGCCATTGGTTTGGAGTCATTGACCTAAAGCCGTTACACGGACCTTCTAGAGCTTAAGAAGTTAAGACAAAAAAAAAAAAAAAAAAAAAAAAGGTGATGAATGAAAAAGAATTATATGTCAAAATCTTGTGTGGAAAATGAGCATTATGTTTACATATACATAGTTGGGGAGTTTTGCATGACATTTTAACATTGTGATGAAATGAAATGTGTGTTGAAAACTTGAAGGAGATAGGCAAATCTTGACAAAACTTTAGTTCTTTATTTAGGATTGTGTTATTTACTTGTTGTTCAAATTTTCACTTTACCTTGATGAATTCTTGGTTGTTGATGAATAGGTTGTGTATGGTTTTGTGAGAATGTTGAAGTTCCTTTAACTTTACTCGAGGACGACAAATAGTATTGTTGAGTGTGTTAGAGTCATGAAAGTGACCTATTTTGGTGATAAAATACCCTATTTGATTAAATTGAGGTATATTGAGACAATTAAAGAATTTATGAATTTTTTCATGAAAATCCTTCCTAATATTTTTCTTATGAATTTAACATGTTTGAATGATTTAAGAAGTATATGAGTTGATATTAGGTTTGTGTTTATGGATTAAGGTTGTTTTGTCTCATTTATGCTGTTTAGGGTAAAATGTCATGTTTTAAAGGGCTGATTTTGTCACTTTTTAATTGTGCAGGGACTAAACTGAAATTTTGCAATATGTGCTATAAAGAAAAAAGTGCAGATCGCGACAGGGGGGCTGTTCATCTTCATTTTTCCGGCGACCCTTCACCTTTCTCCGCAAGCTCCGGCACGAGTGTCTCCTTTTCCGGCAGCGATTCACCTCCCCCTTACTCCGGTCACCATCATCCCTCCATCACCACGTGAACCAAGCACCACCCGCGGCGTTTCGTCTTCCACCCGACTCTTCGTCTTCCCGGCCAGTTTTGGCCATTTTCCGGACATTCCAGCTCCCAAGGGTAGATCTCACTTCCCCACAGCCGATCTACACTTCCCTAGCTTCAGCCGCCGCGAAAACCGCCGGAATCCGTGATTTGCCTCCGCGACTCTTCATCTTCGGCCAGATCCTGCTCATTTCCGCGACTTCTCACTCCCCGGGACCTGATCTGAACTCCCCATCACCAAGCTTTCCATCGGTACCTTCGGATCCCATTTCCGCACGTTTTCCGGAGACCCGCCGGAATTAACGTTTTCCGGCGAACCGCGGCTGTTCGTATTCCGGGCTGTCCGTTGGTCTTTTCGCCCCTTTTTCGCACCATATCGCTGTCGTTACCTCCTCTCCGCCATGTCAGCTCCGTTTCCACCTTCGGCCTCCTTCATCACCACCATGAGCGGCTAAGCTCCCGTTGTCTGTTACGGCATAGGCGAGATCGGGTTTGACTCCACGACTCTCTCATCAGCTCTCGACTAGTTGGATGAGCCCGATTATAGGACATTTGGTAGTATTGTGCTTCGAATTATATTTGTTTTCGTTTCATGATTGATTTCGATACTTTAATATGATTTGGGCATACTTGTGATGAATATTGTTGTCCATTTGATTTAATGTTTTCATAGAACTTGCTGAATGATAAACGTTGGTTGGAATAATTAAATGATGAATATTGCTTACATTACTTCGCATCGATTGTAATTGAGTTGTGTTTGGATTTAATTTAATTTCTACTATTGTTGCGTTTTGTGAGTTGGTTGTTGGAATTACGTGTTGACAATTGTATTTGTTAATCGCGTACAAACTAGTGGTATTGCCTTGTAGGTTTATCGACGTTCAATGATAGTCTAACCAATCGAACTTGAGTGATCGGGTGAGACAGGATAGATTATACCTAGAGTGTCGGGAAACCATTTCATTGATTTACCTTGCCTTGTAGGTTTAGGGGATCGTAGAGGTTGGAGAAATTGTGTGAGTCGGTCTCGTGTCGAACCAAACCGTAACGCAACATTTTATTATAAAGTTTTATTAGTTTTAATTGCACTATTTCATTATTTGTTAGTCTATTTAGTTTATTAATCCTTGCCAATTTCATTTTCGCTACTTAAATATATAGGTTGTTAGTCTTGCTCCCTGTGGATTCGATCCTGCTTACCCTAACTACGGTATTTAGGTTTAATTTGTGACCGTGCCGACCGGTCTAACACGCTCGGCTAGTTTGAAAGCAAGTTTATGCTGTCTCTTTTCTTCGCAGATTTTTCTAGTGGTGCACAGATTTTCCCAGTAATATCAGCCACCCTATTCATGTTTAGGAGAAAAAATGGTGCTCAACAAATAATGGTGATGTAGAGGAAATTCATATAGAATATCCCTTAATATCGAACAAAAGTAAATTCTTATGATTACAAAAGAAAATTTGTATCTATTACCTTTGTAAACATTATTTGAATTTATATCAATAAAGATACGCTGACAAACGTTTTTTACTAGTTTTCTCTCACAAACGCGACTGTTAGCTCGTAATTAGTCAACATGACCCAATGTTAGGCAATTGAGGCTCATTGCGAGTTGCCACATCGTATTTGTTAAAAAAAGTTAGTGAGAAGGGTTTGTGAGTGTAGTATTGTCTGATTTATACTAAAATGATAATCTCTATATGATTTATTGATCCATATAATTAAAAATAGTAATAAAAGTGGTGTTTATTCAGGATCTGATTGAGAAAGTTTGGTATTGAAACTTCTGTACTTAGGTCCCAACTAAAAGTTATATATATATTTGCTTAAAGATGATGATTTTAGCACCATTATTTTATTATTATTGAAACTCACTAAAAAAAATTTGACCACCAAAATTTGATATTCCGACAACTTTGTTGGTTAACTAGATTAAAGTTTCAAATAAATAAATTCTAGGTGTTTAACATTCTCATATAAGTTTTTATATATTATTGAATAAGGTATTTTTAGGTATTTAATCAATGTGTTTCTTAATAATTTTCGAAATTTGAATATAAGTTTATAATTTTCAATATTTGTATGTACGTTATGAAATCTAACTTATTCTATTTAGTGTATTTATATTAAAAGAAGAGATTATGAAAAACAAACAATAAAAATTATAAAAGTACTTAAATTCATCGAAAACTAATAATTTATATATGCAGTTAAGCGTGCAACAATTCTATCTTTATATATCTCTATTAACAATTTTTTTACTAATATGAATTTAATATAGAAAAAAAAAATTAATGATGAAAATTTAAAAAAAGAAAAAGGATATATCATTAAAACTTTAATTTGGTGACCAAATTATCCATATAATTCTAAATTGAAACTATTTTATTAAAAATGTTACTTTCATATATGTGTTAATAATACATATTTATTAAGAAATAAGAATGTTATATTAATAGTGATGGACATGATGGTTATATATATATACGTGTTTTAATTTCTTAGGATGTCTGCTCTTAATATATGAATTTTAAAAAGAACATTTTTTTAATGATATTTACATATTTCTTATTAATTCCTAAATTTACAGGTCTTCCGATTGATGATAGGATAGGTGCTGAAATGGGGATTTATTGTAATCTCTTCAATGGTAGTATATGAAACTTTACTTTTGTTCTGATTTAATTTCTTAGGATATGTATGTTCAAACATATATGTTAAATAGAAACCTTTGTTAATGAAATGTACTTTTTTTTAATACCCAAACCTTACAACCTGTGTTTTGGTGATAGTATAGATGACAAAGAATTTTGTTGTTTAAATCTCTTTAAATATAACAATAAGTATTTACCTTTTGTTCCGCGTAATTATTTTTAAATAAGAATTTGACTTTTGTTCCGTCTTAATTTACTTGTATGAATCATGTAAATGCATAAACATGAATAGAGTGATGGAAACTGGGTAAAATCTGCGAAGCAAAGAGAAAGCATAAACTTGCTTCTAGACTTGCAAGAAGCCTAATAGCAGAAGATTCATGGCTTGAAAAAGTCAAACAAAAAATGTCATCATTTCATGCTGATGAACCAATTGAAGAAAATTCTCAGCCAAGCTCTTTATTTTTTGCAACTGAAAGAGGAATAATAAAGATTGTCGAAGAGATGCTTAAATTGTGTCTGCAATTAGTTGAGTTTAAGAATCATCAAAAACAAAACATATTGCATGTGGCCAGTCAGCACCGTCAGAAGGAGATATACAATCTCGTGAAATCGATGAAGATACCAATGAAAAGGTTAGTCCGAGGGATTGACAAAAATGGCTACACCATTTTACACCATGCTGCAAACATGAAGGATGACGATAAAGAAACTCACCCTATAAGACCTGTCTACCAACTGCAAGAAGAGCTAAAGTGGTACAAGGTAAGCCCATCTTTTTCCTACTTTAAGAATTTTAATCATGTATGGATTATAAAATAACCTGTGTCCTCAGGGTATACATATGTATATATCTTTTCTATTTTAATTTTTATTCATTATTCAAATCCGATAATCAACAATGAAATTATAAAACAGCAAATTAAATATGAAATTTTAGAGAATATAATTGACAACTCTCCCATTGCATGTACTCTAGTTCATGCATTGATTAATGTAGCTACGGCATATTGAAGAACCAATATATATTGCTATATTTTTATATGCAGCGTGTAGAGAAGATGACGCCCTCCCATTATTGCGTGTTTCTAGAGTCTGAGTTTCATAAGAATTGCAAAGAACTCTTCATTATCAAGCATAGTAGACTATTAAAGGATGCCCAGAAATGGATAAAAGAGACTTCTCAGTCTTGATCTACGGTGTCTATTCTTGTTGCCACCATCATCTTCGCAACTGCCTACACCGTACCTAGAGGTTCCAATGAGAAAGGGTATCCAGTTTTCCTCAACAATAGGTTCTTCTTGATTTTCAGAGTCATGGACATGGTTGCTTTAGCCTACTCCTTGACCTCGGTGGTAATGTTCTTTTCCATCCATCCTCACATCACCTTTTAATTACGAAGATTCCTTCACAAGCTCCCTAACAATAGGCTTCTCCTTCCTCTTCATTGCGTTGACTACAACAATGCTTGCATTCGCGGCAACATTATTGCTCATTGTTCATTTCCAAAAGCCAATTAAATACACTCTCACACTCCCTCTCTTTCTGTCTTTTGATTTACTCTTTTCTGTTGCTGCAACTCATGGAACGCAATAGAAAGCAGCAGAAACCGGTGAGGGCGCCGGGAAGTTTGGAACTTGTGGGTGGAAATTGTGAGTCTGAGAAGGGAGAAGTTGTGGCGAAGAAGCGAGGGCGAAAGCCCAAAAAGAAAGAAGAGGTCTTGGAAACTGAGAATGGTGAAAGGGAAATTGGAGCGGAAGAGATGGTAATTGACGAAAATAATGTTAATGGGGTTTCTCAAAAGGAGGAAAGTCTGCGGAATGAGGGTGGAATAAGTGAATTTGGTGAAGGGAATGGAGATAAAGCTAAGGAAAGTGAAGTAGATGCTGGGAAGAAGGGAGTTGGAAGGAATAGAAATAAGGGAAATTTAACGTGGAAAGGTGGGGAAAAGAATAAAGAGAAGGAAATATTGGAACTTGTGGCTGGGGAAAATGGTGAAAGTATTGAAGAAGAGAAGGAAAGTGGAGTTCCTGAAGATAAAAGGGTTTTGAAAGGTGAGAAGGAAGTGAAATTAGATGAAGATTGTCAATTGACGGTTCAAGAAGCGTTTTCTGTGAAGGAGGAAGATGGTAATGGGGTTTCTGAGAATAAAAAGGAGTTTGATGATGTAACAAGTTTAGTGAAAAAGAGACTGAGAGGTGGTGGAAAGAAAGTAAACTATAATGATTATGAAGTAGATGATGAAGAAGAAGAAGGTATTTTGGGAAAGAAGAAGAGGGGGAGGAGAGGTCGGAAAGTTATGCAAAAGAGGAAGAAATTGATGGTAGTGCAAGAAAATGGTGCTAGTGATAAGCAAGAGAATGAAGAAGTTAAAACTCAGAAGCACTGCCAAAAGGATGAGAAGAATGTTGAAGTTAGAGAAAATGATGATTTGAGATCTGAAGAAGAAAAACTATCTGGGGTTTTGGAGGAAGAAGATGGTGAAGAGAATAAGGTAAGACGAAGAGGACCAAAGGATCAAGGGAAGAAGTTGAAAGAGAAAACTGCTAGTGATATGTGTAATGAAGACCATTTGCGTTGTTGTTCACGGAGGACCTCGACAAAACAACTGCAACATGTGTTGAAGGATTCGAAGAAAAGAAAACCTAATGTAAGAATTTTCTCCTGTATAGTGTGGTAGTGGGGGTTGTTTTACATATACATATATTTTTTTTGGTTTAAATTTTTAATTTGTTTATAACAGGGGAATGGAGGGGAGTCGTTGATGTGCCATCAGTGCCAGAGGAATGACAAAGGAAGGGTTGTTAATTGCCAAAAATGTACAACAAAGCGGTTTTGCGTCCCATGCATAACAAATTGGTATAACAAATTCTCACAAAATTAACTTCATTGAATTTAATTTTCTTGCAAAAGCGAATATGTGATTGGTTGAATCTCTGTTTTGGTTTGTATTTTAGTGTTCACAGATTTTTGTGTTGTTGGTTATATTTTTTCCATATGGATTTGAATTTTGCTATTGGAAAAGTAACTCTGTTTGTATCATTGTGGTGGGAAATGAATCGTGAATGCTAATTGCTTTTATGCTATTAAATGTGGATGGTGTTAGAAGTGCTTGTCTTCATTAAGCATTCTTTAGGATCATGAAATGTGGATAAAGTTATTTATTAATATTTACTTAAAAATAAAAAATAATTTATTAGGAACTATTAAGCTTTTGGACTAAATTGTGGGATGTTTAAAAGACAAGGTTACTGGCAGAAGTTTCAAATTATATTGGTAAGGGAGTGAATGAAGCTCCTAAATAAATTAATCACCTTATCCTAAAAATATATAATATTGATGCATTTTTCATATTATTATTAAATAATTAATATGAGCTTAGCCTTAGGTGGGAAGTTGATACCTTTTACAACTCAAGAAAACCGCACATGGTTTATAGTTTGGGGGGATTTCCTTCTTTTTGAGAATTGAGAAGGAAGGAGGAGACGGAGAGGAGGCACAAAGCACGGTGCGCTTTGTGCGTGACAGTCATACCGAGCTTTGTGTGTTCTGTCTGTCAATTCCTTGTAGTTTTATTTATTTATTACTCCTTAATTTCCCTACTATTTATACTTAACCCTAAATTGGCGCCCACTTTTCAAATCCCTCACCCACTGTTTTTTATTTTACCCGTAACCAACCCTAACCCTAGTCCCTTTTCCGAATCCCTATTAATATTCTCTCTCTGTCCGTAGTTATGCGGATTCAAATTAGAGTTGAAATTGTTAACACAAACTAAAATTGATAGGTGTTTATATGGGAAGAGAAAGAATGGAGATACAGAAAGTTATTAGAAAAAGAGTAAATCTTACACAATCTGCATTTGCATCTTATTGCACTTTGACATCTCCACGATTTTTTTTTTTTGTTTAAGTTTGTGTACATTTTAACTAATTTTTTTGGGTCATAAAACTACCGATCGGTAAAAACTCCAATAATCACCTCTATTAATACTTGGAAGGACTCAAACTCAAAAGCTCATGAAATGTCTTTTGCTTTTTTATTATCAAGCCACCCAAGAGTCCTTAATCTCCACGCATATATGGGTATATTTATTTTATTATTTTGGATAAGATTTTAGGAATAATATTGGGTAGTTGAATAAGGGAGTATTACGAGGTAAAATTTAAAAATTTATAAAAAAACCCCATTAGGTTTGCTAATTTAACTAAACACCCCAATATATACAAATTTTGTAAAATGACAAAAACATCTCACCCACCCACAGTGCCAGATTCCGACCACCATCGCTAGAATCTGGCCAAAAAATGGCATTACGACACAGATCAGTCGGATTTGGTAGGTAGGGCGTCGATATGGCCTTTTCCGGCCATATCTACTACGGATCTGGTCGAAAAAGGCCAGATCTACGGCCAGATATGGCCGTTGACGGCGGAAAAAGTCCAGATCTGGTTGTCAACAATGGTAAAAGATATGATCGTCATTGTCGGTCAACGATGACCAAGATTTGGCCGTCACTGATGGCCAGATCGGTGAATTATCGGCCAGTTCTGGTCGTTTGTAGGCCGTTGTGACAGATTCCGGCTACCATCGATGGTGATTGCTGAAATCTGGCAAGTATGAGTGGGTGAGGGTATTTTTGTTAGTTTTTAAATTTTTTTCTGAGGGTATTTAATGAAATTAATAAACTTAAGGGATCAAAAATAATTAAAAAAATACTAATATTTCTCAAATAACAAAACAAACAATATTTTGAGAATAGGATTGAGAATATGAGTAGAAATAATGTGACAAACGGAGCTTATACTATTCTTACTTACATTTAATTCAATTAAATGTAAACTTTTAATCAAACTACAGTAATATATATTTAAACTCCTTATTAATTTATGTTTAATCAAACTTATAGATATATGGAGCAAAAGATTACTCCGTACGCATAAGTACTGTAGCTGAAAAGTTTCCTCGGACACGAGCATGACACTTCATATCCAAACAGATTCCAATCCCAAGCTTTATAAGCAATTACTGTTATCCACGTCATCTAAATCAAAGTTTGTTTCTGTCAAGACTCCTTCCGTTTGCTTCTTGTTATACAGGCAAGAATTATGTACCTATGTGACATACGGAAGATATTGTGTCCGTGACGGAGACACTAAGGGCGTATGACCCCACTGACCTTACAAAATTCGGGCCTGTTTGGTACCATTGCCAGATGATGAAAACAGTCATCGGAATGACGCACAATCAGTTAGATTTGGTTAGATTTATAATCATATTTTTAGTCATCATTAATGCCAAAATCGTCAACAACCAGATCTCTGGTTATAGATTTGGTTGTCAACAGTCAGATTAACGCACGATCGATCAAATTCGGATAATCGTGCATCATTTCGATATTAGCGATCGACGATGATTGCTGGTAGCTAACAGTGACGTGAGTAAATATAGTGTTTTTGTTAATTTATAAACTTTAATTGTGAAAAACAATAATTAATGAATATATTAGGATAATAGAAAACAAGTCCCATCCACTTTTTCAATTCTAAACAAAAAAAATTTATTTGAGTTAGATTAATTTTCTGAATGAAATAACCCAATAACTAAACAAACACATATTCTTATTTTCAATCCAAATAGAATAATAGAAAAGTTACTAAAAGGAGTGAAACAAACAGGTCCCAATTGTTTCCATTCTATTTTGCATTTTTAACACTAAGTTATTTTACTTTATGAATCCATTTCCATTTGGTCACGGCTTTATATATATATATATCTCCGATCTTGAATGTAATCTTTTTCTGTTGAATATATAGGTTTTTATATTATTATTTTTTCTTTTGATTATGCATTCACACTGTTACCTAAGTATGACAATGTTACTGGCAGAAGTTTCAAATTATATTGGTAAGGGAGTGAATGAAGCTCCTAATAAATTAATCACCTTATCCTAAAAATATAATAATATTGATGCATTTTTCATAATTATTATTAAATAATTAATATGAGCTTAGCCTTAGGTGGAAGTTGATACCTTTTACAACTCAAGAAAACGCACATGGTTTATTTAGTTTGGGGGGATTTTCTTCTTTTTGAGAATTGAGAAGGAAGGAGGAGACTGGAGAGGAGGCACAAAGCACGGTGCGCGCTTTGTGCGTGACAGTCATACCGAGCTTTTGTGTGTTCGTCTGTCAATTCCTTGTAGTTTTATTTATTTAGTACTCCTTAATTCCCTACTATTTATACTTAACCTAAATTGGCGCCCACTTTTCAAATCCCTCACCCACTGTTTTTATTTTACCGATAACCAACCCTAACCCTAGTCCCTTTTCCGAATCCCTATTTAATATTCTCTCTCTGTCCGTAGTCTATGCGGATTCAAATTAGTAGTTGAAATACATCCACACTCCCTCTCTTTCTGTCTTTTGATTTACTCTTTTCTGTTGGTGCAACTCATGGAACGCATAGAAAGCAGCAGAAACCGTGAGGGCGCCGGGAAGTTTGAAATTGTGGGTGGAAATGTGAGTCTGAGAAGGGAGAAGTGTGGCGAAGAAGCGAGGGCGAAAGCCCAAAAGAAAGAAGAGGTCTTGGAAACTGAGAATGGTGAAAGGAAATTGGAGCGGAAGAGAAGGAAATTGACGAAAATAATGTTAATGGGGTTCTCAAAAGGAGGAAAGTCTGCGGAATGAGGGTGGAATAAGTGAATTTGGTGAAGGGAATGGAGATAAAGCTAAGGAAAGTGAAGCAGATGCTGGGAAGAAGGGAGTTGGAAGGAATAGAAATAAGGGAAATTTAACGTGGAAAGGTGGGGAAAAGAATAAAGAGAAGGAAATATTGGAACTTGTGTGCTGGGGAAAATGGTGAAAGTATTGAAGAAGAGAAGGAAAGTGGAGTTCCTGAAGATAAAAGGGTTTTGAAAGGTGAGAAGGAAGTGAAATTAGATGAAGATTGTCAATTGACGGTTCAAGAAGCGTTTTCTGTGAAGGGGAAGATGTAATGGGGTTTCTGAGAATAAAAAGGAGTTTGATGATGTAACAAGTTTAGTGAAAAAGAGAATGAGAGGTGGTGGAAGAAAGTAAACTATAATGATTATGAAGTAGATGATGAAGAAGAAGAAGGTATTTTGGGAAAGAAGAAGAGGGGGAGGGAGAGGTCGGAAAGTTATGCAAAAGAGGAGAAATTGATTGTAGTGCAAGAAAATGGTGTAGTGAAGCAAGAGAATGAAGAAGTTAAACTCAGAAGCACTGCCAAAAGGATGAGAAGAATGATGAAGTTAGAGAAAATGATGATTTGAGATTGAAGAAGAAAAACTATCTGGGGTTTGGAGGAAGAAGATGGTGAAGAGAATAAGGTAAGACGAAGAGGACCAAAGAATCAAGGAGAAGATGAAAGAGGAAACTGCCAGTGATTGTGCAATGAAGACCATGCGTTGTTGTTCACGGAGGAGCCTCGACAAAACAACTGCAACATGTGTTGAAGGATTCGAAGAAAAGAAAACCTAATGTAAGAATTTTCTCCTGTATAGTGTGGTAGTGGGGGTTGTTTTACATAAATATAGTTTTTTGGTTTAATGTTTAATTTGTTTATAACAGGGGAATGGAGGGGAGTCGTGATGTGCCATCAGCCAGAGGAATGACAAAGGAAGGGTTGTTAATTGCAAAAATGTACAAAAAGCGGTTTTGCGTCCCCTGCATACAAATTGGTATAAACAATTCTCACAAAATTACTTCATTGAATTTAATTCTTTGCAAAAGCGAATATGTGATTGTTGAATCTCTGTTTGGTTTTATTTTAGTGTTCACAGATTTTGTGTTGTTGGTTATATTTTTTCCATATGGATTTGAATTTTGCTATTGGAAAAGTAACTTATCATGTGGTGGGAAATGAATCGTGAAGCTAATTGCTTTTATGCTATTAAATGTGATGGTGTGTTAGAAGTGCTTGTCTTCTTAAGCATTCTTAGGGTCATGAAATGTGGATAGTTATTTATAATATTTACTTAAAAATAAAAAATATTATTAGGAACTTAAGCTTTTGGACTAAATGTGGGATGTTTAAAATATGTAACATAGCGTTAGAGCATCATGAGTTTTTGCCTGCACCTGCTTGTCTCAAACTTCATATCAAGTTAAATTTGAATTTATATGTTAGAATATGTTGTTGAAATTGTTGGTTTTAAAATAGATAGAACACATGTATATTTTTCACCTTGTGAAGAATGGAAGAAATTTAGTAGCTTGAAAAAGGATAGATAGGCATATTATGAGTAAGTGCTGACATCACAAGTTATTCAATTTTTCCATCCATGACTGTCTTCGGATGTGTTCTAACTCATAGATGATGAGATGAGTGGTATTGATTGGTAATGCACATGGGAAGACTCTTGGGATGGAAAATTTGGGGTATGAATTAGAATACTGGCATTACTTGTTATATTGATGCTCAGTGGCACAATGTTATGTTCAGACAAGATATTCAGTGAATTAGTTGTTCTTACTTTCTCATTTTAAATGAGTTATTTTTTGGATTTTACTGTTATGTGTATTTTTATTTTTTGCTTTCTCATGATAACGTCTTTTTAATTCCAATTTATTCCATCTAGGTATCCTAAGATGTCAGAGGATGAAATTGCTTTCTTGTCCAGTTTGTCTGGGTAATTGCAATTGCAAAACATGCTTACGCATGGAGGGAGTGATAACAGTTAGTTTTTCCTTTCATCTCGAGTCCTCTCATAATTTGATGCATTTGTCATGCAAACTATGATAGTTTTATTTTATTTAGGATGACCTGAAGAAAATTGAAGAAAGATCCAGAATTTGAAAAAGAACAGCACTCTAAGCATTTACTTCAAGCTCTTCTCCCTTACATCAGAACATTTAGTGAAGAACAAATGAAAGAGTTGGAGATGGAGGCCCAGATATTAGGTATTAAGATCATTTAGCTTGGATGCTTTTGTGCTGGTTTAGTATTCTAGTTAGGTTGTTTTGGAATCATTGCATCATGTGAATTTTAGTCATTCTTTTGCTAATTCAGAATAAGCTGCTATAATTTCCAATCTACTGAGCCTTTTGTTTTATTGATCTTCTTTTCCAAATTAATTATTATAGTTTACATTGAAAGATTTGTTGCTAAATCAGAAGGCCTGAGGCAAGTCTTCTTGAAGTGAAAATTCCTGTTACAGTGACTTTTTATGGACATAAAAGAAGTTCCTATGAATACTATTCTCTGGGGGTGCCATTGTATCTGAGCTAATAAGATGGACATTCCTTTCATTTGCTCTGTAGACCTTGTTGTCATTAGGAGGAGCTAAGGTGACTCATTTCAACAGTCTAAAGAGGGTTTATCTAGAATTTAATCGGCAGGCATAATATTTCATTTCTCTTAAAGGTGGTTCCATATTCTTGCTTTCTCAGCAAGTTTCTGAATGACGTATATGGCATCAGCCATGTTTGCAATGCATAGCATACCATATATATTCAAGAGATATTCTTTTTCTTAATATATGCTTGCTAAGTATATTTTTGAATGACCAGGGGTATCACTGTTAGAAATTCAGCCACGGAAGGCAGATTGTCTTTATACTGAACGTGTCTACTGGTATGTGATTCTTTCCTAAGATAACTTTTGACAAGCAGTCATTTTGTACCGTGCTACATTTCCTTTTTGACTTTTTGGTGCCATGTCATAATTTTACAGTGACAACTGTCGAACTTCAATTGTTGACTTTCACAGAAGCTGTCCAAACTGTAAGTATGATCTTTGCCTTGTTTGCTGCCGGGAAATGCGTGATGGCCACTTGCAGGGTGGAGGTGAGGAAGTAGTTGTGGAATATTGTAAGCCCAAATATTTGGAATACTTGCATGGTATAATGAAACAATCTGAGTCTCCAGAAAAAGACAGGTCATCTACTGCTGAGTCAAATTCTAAGGATCAGAATAGGTCAATACCTGACTGGAAGGCAAATGGGAATGGTGGTATTCCTTGCCCCCCAAAGGAATTAGGTGGCTGTGGTGATGGCCTCTTGGAACTTAGGTCTATCTTTACAAAAAATTGGGTTGCTGAATTGGTGATAAAGGCTGAAGAAGTAGTCAAAGCTCATAATCTTGAAGATATGCCTAAATCTCCAGAACAAATGTGCAATTGTTACAACTCAGCAGGTGAGATTGACATGGGCAACAATCAATTAAGAAAAGCAGCTTCTCGAGAAGAATCCAATGATAATTATTTGTATAACCCGGTTGCTAAAGACATTCAGCATGGAGATTTAAAGCATTTCCAGTGGCATTGGGCTAAAGGCGAGCCGGTTATAGTCAGCAATGTGCTTGACTGTGCATTGGGGTTGAGTTGGGAACCAATGGTTATGTGGCGTGCTTTTCGTCAGATTACAAATATAAAGCATGGCCAACATCTGGATGTTAAGGCTATTGATTGCTTAGATTGGTGTGAGGTCAGTTTATTTATACTGTTGTAGTACAGTGTCATAAACTTAGCTGGCTGGAATTGTTTTGCATGCCATTCATTTTACAATGTGCAACATTTTTTGTTTTGGCTAGAGTCCAGACCATAAAAAAATGCTTAGCGAAAACTTCAATAGTAATATGAGTTAGATCAGTTAGATTATTATATCGAGTTACATGTGTTCCCAAATGACCTACTTTTTCTTTTCTTTTTGTATATGTGACGCTTTCTGTATCTGCAAGCATGACATAAGATCCACATTTTGCCATGAATCTCAAGTAGTTATAGGGTAATTTTTAATTGCATACACAGAGATTATAGGTTTACTGCATACTCCAGATTCATGTACATAGATGGTTTAGAATTTAGAAAAAAAACTATTTTACCTACCATCTGGAAGTCTCAGTGGAAACTACCAACTGACATGTAGGGAATTAATTCCTTGTCAATTTCAGGAGCTGGGCTTTTGTGCTTGTGCTCATTTTTCTTTTTGGGTTATTTTGAAATTGTTGTAGAAGAGATTAAAGATCAATGTTTTTTCCAGGTGAATATTAGAAGTTCTTGTTGTTGTTAGAGGCTAAGGAAGTGAGAATAATAGGTATTATTACTTAAGAAATTATTATATATTATGTACCATGTATGTCAATGGGTTTACCAAAGGGAGTTCTTGCTACTTTTTCAAGTTTTTGCTTTATGTGTTTTTCTTTTCTGCTGAAAAATTCGTCTACCAGCTTATATATATGTTTATTTTCCTGAGTTCAAAATTCTCTAGTGGATTAGTTTATATGACTTTCATGGTAAGAGCTAGAAAGTGAGTACATTCTGCTTAATTTGCTGATTGTGTGAAAAAATTTATTGTTTTACTTGAAAAGTTCCATGTTTATGGAGTCTGTCTATGGTTCTCGTCAATGATGTTTACTTGCCATTTTTAATATTTTTTTATTTACTCTTTATAGTCTGGTTATTTGTTTCTCAACATTAATGAATGGCAGGGGGAGGTCAACATTCACCAATTCTTTAAAGGCTACACAGATGGTCGTTCTGACTGGAAATTGTGGCCTCAAATATTGAAGTTAAAGGACTGGCCACCATCTAATTTATTTGAGGAACGCTTGCCTCGTCATAACATTGAGTTTCTGGCTTGTTTGCCTTTTAAGGAATATACACATCCTCGTGCTGGTGTTCTGAATCTTGCTACCAAATTGCCTGAAGAATCTCTGAAGCCAGACATGGGGCCAAAGACATATATTGCTTATGGGGTTGCTCAAGAGCTTGGACGCGGAGACTCTGTTACTAAGCTTCACTGTGATATGTCTGATGCGGTATATATATATTTTATTATTATTTTTTACTTACAGCTGTTTGCTTCATTCATTGGCTTCATCTCCCCCCCCCCCCTTTTTTTTTTTAACTCTTTGAGCTAAGAGGCAACCCACTACTCAAGACAACCCAACCTGATAATTATAAACCACAATCCACGCCAACCCTTCACGTAAAGTTAGGAATCCGTTGGGGTAGGGTGGGTTAGTTAAGGTTTGGGTGGCGGGTAAAAACCTGTATGTTTATCTTAACCTAACACAGACCACAGAACAAGAATCTTTAGAGACTAATGGTAAACGTGTTTTTATTTTATAAATGTTTTTATAACAATAAACAATATTTATGTAATTATGTAAGGAATATATACAAAATTTCACAAAAAATGTTAAACAAATAATTTATTAAAATTTTGAAAGACCGAAAAAAAATTAATTTGGTCCCAATTACTGACTATCAGATCGCATTTTCCAACACCGCCAAATCCAAAATGATCGTTGTTGGATGAGCTGTTCAACCATTTAGGAGTCACCAACAAAAGAGGTGTTACATTGCATCCTATGTTGGTGTCACCTACATTACTGTAGTTGGCTATGGGCAACTACACAGTAATGACCTTTCAGTAATTTTGCAAAACTAAACTATCTGCAGAGGTTGTGACTGCAAAAAGTGTCCAAATTCCTTCAGTCCCTTGAAATCATGGATTTAAAATCAGGCTCAATTTGAATTTGTTGCTTAAGAGAAATTATTTATTTTTCTGAATTTTCTGTTTCAGGTGAATGTTTTGACACATACTGCTGAAGTGAAACTTAAACCTGAAGATCTTCATAACATACAGAAGTTGAAACAGAAGCACAAAACTCAAGATCAAATGGAGATATTTGGTGTCACTCAGTCTGTTGATGAAAATTTCCATGGTACATCTTGTGGTGCACCTGCTAATGATAATCAGAGTGGTGACAAGTGTGATGAATCTAGAGGATCTGAACTGGAGGAGGCAGCAGAGGCAATTGCAAATCAAGGTAGTAGTGGAGAGAGTGGTGAGCCATCTGATGTTCCTCAAAGTGAGTTAGAATCGGCTGATGGAGGTGCTGTTTGGGACATTTTTCGGAGACAAGATGTTCCTAAGCTGCATGAGTATCTTAATAAGCATTTTAGAGAATTCAGACATATTCATTGTCGTCAAATACCACAGGTAGCTGCTTACTGAATGATTCATAATATGCCTGGAGTTTTCTTTTTGACTATTTTATGTATAATAGAAGTGTGATCTCTCGATTTATGCATTGTAATGATTATTGATTTATGTTGAGTGATTGAATGACAAACTCTGTTAGCCAAGTTTAGCTATAGATTTTGGAAGTTCGGCTATGAAAATCATTTATCCACGGTAGTGACAGATTCAAAATGAATTTATCGCTGAATGATTAAGAAAAGTTTGTTTAAAGAAATAAAAAGAAAAAGCCTAGCTGTTTTTAAGTTGCCTTGATGAAGTATATGACTTTATCCGACAGAGCATATCTTAATTCTTGGAGAATACATTGGATCTTTTAAGGATATATATATATATATGTTCATTTACAGATTAATGTCTTACCATTTTTTCATTGTTTGTTCTGGTGGCATAGGTTGTTCATCCTATTCATGATCAGATCTTTTACCTCACTTTGGAGCATAAAGCAAAGCTCAAGCAGGAATATGGTATTTTAAAATGCATTAATATTGTGGAACTGTTTGAATTAAAGTTTGTAGACTTTGATTTCTGTTTTATGGTTATATGCTATCACTCAGGAATCGAACCTTGGACATTCGTTCAGAAGCTTGGAGAGGCTGTTTTCATTCCTGCAGGATGCCCCCATCAAGTCAGGAACCTTAAGGTATATCAATTTACACTTGGACGACTTTCTGCTTTTCACTTTCTTTGGAAGACATGGGTTAAATTTTTTATTTTTATCGGGTCATCGATATTAAGTTGAGACGGTTCTAATTCACCAGAGTAGATTTATTGCGCTTTTTTTTCTTTTTTCTTTTTTTTCTGGGAAGCTGTTAATTTATAGAGTGCCATGTTTAAACATTCCAGGGAACAAGATGTCATCTGCTTGATGATTGCAGTTAAAGTGGGAGTTTTGACTTTTTTCTGTCTATATTTAAGACTATTTTCTTTCTCTCCCACACAGACACGCATGCAGAATTGCAGTCTATCATCTTAAAAGTTGTATACTTTTTCTGCATTTCATGTTGTATTATAGAGTATGAAATTTATTTATTCTTAAACAGAGTAATCAATTTATGTAGATATCTCTAATGCTCTTGCTTTGGTCTTCAACAGTCATGCATAAAGGTTGCACTAGATTTTGTCTCTCCTGAAAATATTGGTGAGTGTGCCCATTTGACGGAGGAATTCCGGTTGCTTCCTCCAAATCATAGGGCTAAAGAGGACAAGTTGGAGGTATTTCTTCTCCTTATACTTGGCTAATTTCGAATTTCCGAAAGTTTACAGTAATATTCACTTTTGACTACTTTGGATGGTGAAACATTGACATGTTAATAATGCTTTGTTGTTTATTTACTTTACAATAGTTGCTTAAAAAATATACAGAACTTGATTCCCCAATTCCTGTAAGTTTATAGTAATATTCATTCTTGACTAATAGTTTTATGGATTATTTTTGTTATCACTATCATTTAGACCTAATCAAAATTGCTGTCCACTACCATACATACCTCTATTCCATTGTTGGTTAAGCATGCCATCGCCCCTTCTTTTTCCATATGCTCTGATGTAGCAACTATGAGTCTCTGTTCACAGCAACAAGATATATGGATGACTGCATTACCTCCCCCTTCAATGCTTTTCCATTATTTGCAATCCACTTAACTAATACACACTCTTTTTGTTGCTTATACTGTTGCTTGTATCTGCCAGATTCCAATGTACATGGACTTTTACTTTTTTACTTTTAATTGGGGTACTGTTGTATTCTTTGTCAATCCAACTTGTTCTTTTGTTATCATCATGCATTATTTTCATGACATTTATGTGGGTGTGCCCAAAGGAGTTAAGTCGGTGATGAAGGAGCAGAAGAAAGAACAAGATAGACAAAGATATTTTATAGAGGAATAGGAAGATAGAGAGAATAAAAGAAGGATAGACCAAGAGAACAGCAGGAAAGGGGAGAAAATCTTGAATTCAAGAGAGAGACAATCTAGAAGAATTAAGAGAGGCAGAGACAATTGATAGGGAGAGAACCAATATTTTTATTCAACCATAGATCTAGCATCTCAACAAGAATGATAGAATCCTTTAGGCTTAAGAAACAAAATTGTAACAATAAACATTCCTAATCCTAATAAACATTGAAATAAAAGTTAGATTTAATTAAGACGACTCAATCGTAAAAATTATCCTATTCTTCCTCCATCAGTTGGATTAAAACCAGATACAGTAATGCACACAAAACAAGTTATTAGAATTCCTGGGATTCTATATGGAAGTTATGCACTGTGGATTCTGTATTGTTTTTAAGCTTGTAAATATTTTTTGCTTTATGATTACGTTTTTGATGTTTACTGTCTGAATCAGGTGAAAAAAATGATTCTGTATGCAATGAATCAGGCTATAAAGGATTTGGAACATCAGAGTCCAGAGTAAGTAATCTATGATACACAAACCTGATATTTGTGGCTTCTTTTCTGTCTTCAATTTATTTAATAGTTTCTAGTTCTCTGTGTCTTTCCCCCCGTTGTCTGTTCTGTTTTGGTAATCATTTCATCTCAATTTGGTTGAGGCCAGTGGGAGTCAAAATTTATTTAGCATATCTTCTTGAAATTCCTGGACTCCTGTAAGTTTTATTCGGTGATTGTAGTTTCTGTTCTGTTCTTGAATCCATACTATGTTTTATTGTGTGGTCTCGTAGGCAAATAATGGTCTTTTCCTGATTGTTTCTGTGTAACCATTCTACTTTTGTCAAATTTGAAAATGCCGTTTTTGTTAAATACCCTGTTCCTATCTTGTAAGTGTTGGGGTTTTTCTGTGGTATGCACGTCCGCGGACATAGTTTGTGCTTGTGAAACCTCTTAAAAGTTCATTTGCAATGGCTTAACACTTTATTGATTTTCAGTTTGGGAACTGCTAACGAAGCTCAGAATTCTAAACTTAAGAAAAAGAGACGGAGACGGAGACGGTGAAGCATGGAATTGAGTTTAAGGTTGGTTCACCTACAAAACTGGTCAAAGTTTCAAGTAGGTTTTTGGAGGTGTGTCGTATGTAAGAATGTGGACCTTAAGTAAGGTGTTTTGCCCGGTCTCCTCTGCCATCAGTAACCTCAGTCTTGGCTGTATATTTTGTGAGGAAGGGCAGGGCCGGTGTATTTTGTTAAAATTACAATCAAACAACTATGTTGATGTCAACATGGTAGTGTAAAATGGGCATTTAAATTAAAAAAAAAAAATGTATCTATTTTAGTTGCAAGTGTTTGTGTTATTTGTCCTCCTGGTATCATGAAGTAAAAGCTTTAGAAAATCTCAATGTTGAAATTATGAAGATTCCATTGGCATGTGCTGAAGCTGAAGCAAATGAGGGTGGGTGTAGTGAAGACTGAAGTGGAGAGTTTGTCATTTCTGGTAAGGCAGAGCGATTTCAATAATAGAGAAGAGTAAGAAAGAAAAAGCTAAAAACAGAAAAAAGATTTGTAATGAAGGTCTGGCGACTGCGTTGTGCATAAGCCAAGTGAGATATGGTTGATGTTGACATGCAGTCAAACATTAACATTGGGGACCAATTATATTAATTAGCTGCCGGTTTGGAAAAACTTAACATGTGATCTCTGACTAAGCTTTCCCACTTCCTATCACCCTAAGACGCTCATCTATTTCTTCTTCACAGCCAGATTTGTACATAAATACCAATTAATCACTCACAAATAATACTAGCGCAACCAATTTAATTCCATCTTTGACTATGTACAGCTAGCAATCGTGCCTTTATTTGGATTATTCTCTTTTTGACCATTTTACTTAGTGCGGGGCAGCTAGGGGACATTTCAAATTTTTTTTTTAATAATCTCAAATCAAAGCAATTTTAATGGGTTTTACATAGTAATTTGAAAATTAAAGATACGGGTTGGTTTGGTTTTAGGGTTAGATGTAAAAGCATATTGGGCTTTGGACTATTTCCATAGGTGTCAGCTGAGCTTCATTGATTCATAAACTGGGCGATTGTTACACTTTGTCGTTTCCAATTAGGTGTAGTGTAGTATTTGGGTATTGCAAGTTTGGCAACCTTAATTTTCTAACCATTTGTTACAACTTCCTCAAATTGGAAAATTTCAGGTTGCTTTGCAGATGATAGCAGAGAGTGGGCCAACAGTCATGCTATTGCTATCTTCTGTCCTTCTTTCGTAAGACGAGAACTATGCCACCACAAATTACACCCACTACCCACAACCATTTTAGGTTTTATGTATAGAATATGAAGTTAGAATAATCTCAACAAACAAGATTATCTATGTAGATATATTTATCTAATCAAATCAAATCCTTTTTTTTTTTAATATCCGGGGTGTTTGGGTCAGTTTACGCATACCTCAATTAATCTCTCGAGACCCTGAAACTATAAATCGGGTGAAAGTTCCAGTGATTATCCCTATTAGCAATCGATGAAAGACTCAAACTCATGATCTCTTAAATAATACACCCAAGAGTTTCTATCGAATTACTCTACTCTATCAATTAGAGGTAGTTTATTTAATAAAATCTTATCATATATAGTTATTATTTTTTTATTTTGTAAATTATTACCATACCTTAGACATGAAAGAGGAAATATCAAATGATTTATATTAGACAAACATATATTTATTTTAAATGGCTAATCTTTCCCTGTACTCAGCGTGGTAATAATGTGTTTGTAATTAATTACAGTAGGGGATCAGGTGCAGTTTGGTAGTTTTTCAGAATTAGATGGGCTAAAGAAAGGCAAGGTATAGTAAATATTGATAGATATATTATATAACATGTTCATACACAGTTTCTACAAACTCATCCAAACTTCACAGACAAGGAGATAAACATCAGGTAAATCAATCTCTCTTCTCCTCCTTCCTGCTTTATCAACTATTCCAAAATACCAGTAGGTTTCAGAAACTTGCATTCCATTTTTCATTGCCTTTTATTTCCTTAATTTATTCTTTCTGTCCACTAGTCCTTTTTTGGAACTTGATCATCTTTACAGAAATGTATTTCCATTACTTAACAAGTTACAGAAAAGATTAAGGCAACAACTATGGGACGCGGAAAGATAGCGATCAAGAGGATTGAGAACCCAACAACTAGGCAAGTTACCTTTTCAAAGCGACGAGGTGGGCTTTTGAAGAAGACTCATGAGCTTTCAGTGCTTTGTGATGCTCAGATTGGTCTCATCATCTTCTCGAGCACTGGCAAGCTGTGCCAGTACTGCACTGAGCCTTTGAGGTTTATAACTTTTAACAATTCCCACCTTTAATATATTATTTTATTTTTTCAATTAATCTGAACCATGCATCTTGTGTGATTTGGTGATTGATGTTTCTATGATCATTCTGATTTTAGCTTTTGATGTTCATATGACATTTATGATACATCCGATTCAGATATCTTTGAAGATTATATACGTTCTCCTCCTCATCTTCTCTCTGATTTTCTGGGGACCAAATTGAATCTTTCACTGACTTTCTCTTTCTTCGCTTCTGAAAAGTAATATATTAGGGTTTCTCATCATTAGCATGTTTCTTGCCTGAGGTAGCTAACTAAACCCATGATTATTATGATTCCGTTTTAAAAAGTAGCACATTACTTAATTACTGATAGATTGATAAGTAAGACTAGCTAGAAATTTTTCAAACTCCAGCTTTATGCAGAAGGATTGAGGATCCACGCATACATTTGAGCATTTAAAAATTTTCTTGGGAGTTGAGAGAAAATTCACTACTATCACCTTTCAAAACACATAATTCTAACGCTACTTTTGCATGCAAATATGCGTTTTTTATTTGATCGATCGATCGCAGAATGGAACAAATCATTGAAAGGCGGCAGAAGGTCACCGGGACTCGTATTCCTGAGCACGATACCCGGGTAGTTCTAAATTCTAATCTTGTATTGTATGTTATGGCCTATATTAGTTGATTGTTTAATTTGCCCTTTAATTAATTTTGTAGGAAGAATTATTCAATGAATTAGCGGTGCTGAAAAAAGAAACCCGGCGTCTTCAGCTAAGTATGCGACGCTACACTGGTGAGGACATGAGTTCCATACCATATGAAGATCTGGATCAGCTTGAACAACAACTTGAACTTTCTGTTGATAAGGTCCGACAAAGAAAGGTAGCTTCTCTAATTTACTTTCTAAATTGAACAGAACTTTTGTTTTATAATTAATCAATTAATTAGCATTTAATTTGTTTAAGACAAGAAGTTTTTCTATTTTCTTTCTTTTTTCTGCGTATACATGTTTGATTTTTTAATTTTTGGGTGGGGCTTGCAGAGTGAGCTCCTGCAACAGCAGCTGGAAAATCTACGTAGGAAGGTAAAATAATAATAACAGTGTCTTTATCTCAAAATGCAGAGTTTAATGCAACTATAAACCTATCGCTTGATGTGTAGGAGCGAATGTTGGAGGAGGAGAACAGCAACATGTACCGATGGGTAAGTAAATTCAATGTGCATCATGTATATATCATTTAGGGTTAATCAAAGACTGAAGGCGTCTTAACTGGTGATAGTTAATTATGCAGATTCAGGAGCACCGACTGGCGATTGAGTATCAGCAGGCGGCATTGGAGGCAAAGCCGGATGAGTCACATCAGCAACAAATCTTGGATCACTTTCAATTCTGTGGAGAACAACCCAGTAGTGTGCTTCAGCTGGCAACCATGTCTAATCATATTCACCCTTATCATCTTCAGCTTGCTCAACCCAACCTTCAGGATTCCAATATCTAGAACCTCACTTAAGGTATATACTCAAATAACTACTTCCATTCATCTTTAATTTACCTTTATTATTTTCAGAAGTTCTTATTACGATGATTATTAAGATGATGCTCGACATGGGTTGGTTTAAACTTTATACTGAAACCCATAAAACTCACAGAATATTAAAAAAAAAAAAAAAAAAAATCAACTGCAAGAAATATGATAAATGTGTGATATGCTTATGTCATTGGGAACTAAAAACTGCTACAAATTAGGAGCCAAACATGTTATTATAAACTGTTTACTTTGTTACACGAAAAGTTGATATCGAACAATAAAAATTAATAGAAAATCTTTAAAAAAAAAAAAAAAAAGTTTTGTTCATTAGTCCCTTTCTTCTTTTCGGTGTCAAGATCAAGTCAAACTATTGAACTGATATTTCCTTCATTTTATTCGCTGTACTGTACTCCAATATATTCTAAAGGGGTTGTCTTGAAATAGTAGTTGACCAAGGTAAACCAAAGGCAATGGATGTTGATGTTTTCTGGCGACCGTAAGACTTGTTCAGTGGTCCTAGAAGCTGAAATCATTACAAAAATCTGACATTCAATCAATGCACTTCATCATTTTTATATATATTTTCTACATATTCCCGTTGAAAAATCTGTGGATTAATTTAATTACGTGATTTGTGCAGAGAGTACGCATGGGTTCTCGATGAAAGATTAGGTTATCATTATCAAGTTGCAGACTCACAATATATAATTTCTACTGGATTTGGTTATCAATTATGCATTATATTAACCTTTGTTTTATGTTTCTATGGAGTTATATAAGGTTTCTATGTCTCTGTGTGCTACCAATATATATCCCTCTTTCTATGTATTAAGGGATTTGCTTAATTAATTTCAAACTAATGTTTTTTTTTTTTGATAAACTCGGTAATTATATTAAAGAAATAATAAAGAATTACAGTCTAGAAAGGGAAAACCCCTTTAGACACACAACCTTGGCATTCCCAAGTGACATGGCTAAGCAAAGGGTAAGAGAAGCCAAAATAAACTTAAGCCAAAACCGCCAAAAACACAAGGATTACAAAACCTACTAATTACACAAAAAGGAGCCTCAAAAGCCAAACAAAAATCAAGGCTCTAGCTTCTTGGCCCACCAAAAAGCTAACAAAAAACTTTATACAACTAGCAAGCCTATACCAACACCAACCAACAAAAATCTGCACGAAAAATTGCAGCCCCGTAAAAACTAGGAGCAAAGAGAGAGCCTAAGGACAGCAGCGCCTTTTAAGCCAACCACACAGACCAACCAGCGGGGCAAAAGCAAAACTGCAGTCGCAAAAGCTGCTGAATTTTCTGGGGCATTTTCCAGAGAATTCGACAGGAACAATAAATCCAAATAAAGCTCATTCCCTTCCTAACTAGGATCCTGCAGAAGCCAAAAAAGCAAGTAGACCAAATCACTCCAGCAACCCATTTAGCTACATCTTCACGCCCTCTAAAGAAGCCACTGTCCATCACAATCTCCCCAAAAGACAGCAGCATCTCAAAAACAATAAAATACGAGCAGGAAAGGCTCAGCAAAATGGGCGCCTGAATGCAAGCAGCTAACAAGTGGGAACCGATCCAGCACACAATCAAAGAGACACCAGAACCATAAAAATATATAACAAAGGACTCTGCAGAAAGAGCAGGAACTGAATATCAATGCAGCACCAGCAAAGAACCAGAAAAAAAGGCGTGAACCTCCCATCTAATCATAGAGAGACGACTGGAATAGTTAAGGAGGAAGGGATATCACTGCTGCTGGATGTGGCAGATTGCACAAGAAGTCATGAGGGGAGTTATAGCCCAAATGCGAGAAATCAGGCCATAGATCCCGAGATAACTAGTGAAGGGGGAATACCATCCAGTCCAAGGTTTATAGAACATGACGCAAGCATTAAAGTCAGCAAACTCCATTGCGAAGACACTTCATGGGAAGACTCCATTCCGCTACCAATTTGCGGGGATAACAAACTAATGTTTCAATATGGCATGCATGGCTTCATGGTTAAAGAGAGAGGCAGAAATAGTTTACTGTTCCTTATTATCGTATATTTCAACCAGTACCCTAAGAAACCAAGCAAATTGATGATGATACTAATAGAAGTGGAAGCAGTAATGTGTAAAAAAGGTTCCTTAATTAGGACAAGATTAAGATATCTCAACGCCAGGTTAAATTAATATTCATGCTTAAGTTTAATTAACCCTATAATTAACATATCATTATATTCCTCCCGATCCTTTTTTTTTTCAGATATATTAAACTATTAACATCTTGTAATTTGATTTGAACGAAAAAGAAACTATATTATATTTAGCGTTAAATCACAATATAATTAATATTTACTACTACCACATGCAGTCGGTTAAGCATTGTTAACTTCAATGTAACAAGAAAAAGGCCACTCTAGAAACTACTTGATGCAAACATACATATATACTCATTTCTGTTAACCTAATTAAAAAATATTGCTCATGCCAGCCATTGAAGCTCGGGAAGTAGTAAGACAAGAAAATCTTGTTTATGTATTGTAAATTTTACTTTATTTTTTTTACGTATCTGGGTATTCAGACTCACATTGAAGTATGTCTAATCCTCAGGGCCACATAACATCCTACAAGTATAATGGATCAAAGTAATTGGATAAATATAATAGGTATATCTCTTAACGATTTTAACACAAGATCCCCCGAATATAACTAATTTTGGTGACTAAAGGGTTTGTTATCCGGCCAAGGGGAGAGGTGCGAATTTTCCTTCCTTGGGAAAAATGATTAAAGCTAAGTCTGCATGTAGCTAGTGGCTCGCATGGGTTGCTCTTCCACCTTTTTCACGTTAAATAAATGCCCCTTAAAGCTTCTATAGTATTGATTTCATTAATTATAGTAACATGAATCTGTTTTCTTTTGAATTCATAGTCAATTGATAGCTAAATGCCCTTTAGTAATTAATTGTAATTCAAAATTATGTTTGCAAAGATCTGATCCTTTATTTTAAAAAAGAAAAATATTTTATATATTAGGTCTCTGAAACTCTATTTTAATTTAGATACAAATGTCCATTACCAAACACATATTCATCATTTTTGTTACTATTAGTTTCAAAATACAACTATGACGCTGACAAGCAGATAGCTTGATCTCATTCTGAAGCAATTCTTTTAGCCTTCCCTAGTTTACCTTATGAGATAGTTTGAAGAGAATTCACCACACAGCTTGAAGTGGTGAGTATGTCTATTTATATAGATGTACAAGTTGCCCTAGAATATTTACAAATCAATCTAGAATATTTACATATCAATTACAATGGAAATGATGGAATGAATATCGTAGAATTTAGGCTAGAATTCATGGGTCAAAATTGTTACAAATGTTATGCCTTAGATTGAGGCAAAGTATCCTCAACACCCCACCACCCCCCCGGAAGCTAAGCGTCAGGTTGGAACAGACATGAAGCTTGGATCAAAAAAATTCAAAAAGTGGTCGAGAGATACTTTTGGTGAAAATGTTGGCAACCTGTAGGTGAGAAGGGATGAACTGAGTGTGAAGTTTTCCAAAAACAACAAGCTCCCGAAGGAAGTGATAGTCTAATTCAACATGCTTGGCTCGCTGTGGGAAACTGGATTTGAGCTCAGAAATATGGCACTTTTATTGTCACATAGAAGGAGAGGCCGCTGTGGAAGTGACACATGTAAGTCTTGAAGGGTGCGTAATCCAAAGGAGCTCAACAGCAGCATGTGCAAGGGCACGATACTTAAACTCACAACTTGAACGAGAGACTATGGGTTGTTTCTTAGCACTCCAAGAAATCAAATTTCCTCCAAGATAGATGAAGTAACCAGAGGTAGACCGGCGAGTATCAAGGCATCCTGCCCAATCAGCATCAGAGTAAGCAATGAGAGCACTGGGAGTAGCAGAGGAGTGGAAAGTGATGCCAAAATGAAGAGTGCCCTTGATATAGCGAAGAATTCGCTTAACTGCGAGAAAATGATCTGTTGTTGGAGCATGTAGAAATTGACTAACGGAGTTGATAACATGAGCAATATCTGGGCGTGTGATGGTTAAGTATTGGAGGGTGCCAACTAGAGATCTGTAAAGAGTAGGATCCGAGAACAGAGGACCTTCTGCAGACAAGTGCTGAGATACAACCATAGGAGTGTGGACTGGTTTGTTGTCAAGTAACTGAGCTCGAGTAAGAATGTCCCGTGCATATTTCAGTTGACTGATGAAAAGACCATCTATAGTTGTCGAAGCTTCAAGGCCAAGAAAGTAGCTAAGAGGACCTAAATCCTTAATGGCAAACTCAGAGTTGAGTTTGTAGGTGAATCTGTGGATAAGAGATGAGTTGTTGCCAGTAATAATCATCAACATATAGGAGCAAATAAATGATATTAGAGTGCTTATGGAAGACAAATAGAGAAGCATTAGCTTGACTGCAAAAGAAACCAAGCTGAATAAGGAAGGAGCTAAAGCATTGGAACCAGGCACGAGACGCTTGCTTTATGCCATAAAGAGCTTTCTTTAACTGACATACATGATTGGGGAACCGAGGATCAATGTATCCAAGAGGCTGCTCCATGTACACATGCTCAGTGAGAGTGCCATTGAGAAACACATTCTTAACATCAAGTTGGCGAAGGGGTCATTTGTTAGTCACAACAATAGATAGCATAACACGAATAATGGTAGCCTTGATAACAGGACTAAAGGTATCAGTGTAGTCGAGACCAGGTACTTGTGTATATCCCTTGGCAACAAGATGAGCTTTGAGACGCTCAATGGATCCATCAGACATATATTTGGTCCTGAACACCCATTTAGAACCCACAATGTTGGTGTTAGCAGGCCTAGGGACCAAAATCCAGGTGCGATTGTTTTACAAAGCTTGCATCTCTTCATCCATGGCAGCAAGCCAAACAGGATTCTTTGTAACAGATTTGAATCTTTTAGGTAAGAAGAGCACAAAGAAGACCAGATGAGTCAAAGACACCAAGGCTTGCCGGGTGGCGAGTTTTAAAAATGCCAGTTTTGGCTCGTGTGAGCATAGGGTGAGAACTCAACGGAAATGCTAGAGCGGGAGTGAGATCATGAACTTGAGGAGCGATGTCAAGCTCAACAGGAGATGGTCTAGGGTCTGAGTGCACTGAAGGAGAACCTGTAAAGGAGTCAATAACCTGCACAGACTCATCCACTGGGTCAGTACAAATAACACACGGGTTAGATCCGGATGGAGTAATCTTAGGAGAATGGTGCTCGGGGCAAGGGGAAGGTGTGTCTGTAAGAGATGAGCTAGGTTCCAAAAAGTTGGAAAATTGGAGAGATGAGATAGGCTGAGCTTGAGAGGAGTCTAGAGAGGGGAAGTGATGTTCATCAAACTGTGCATGTCGGGTGATGTATAGTGGTGGGATCGAAGGCAACGAAACCCTTTGTAGGAGGGACTATATCCCAGAAAAATACAAGGTACGCTGCGAGGAGAAAATTTGTTAGACATATAATCACGCAAACAAGGATAAACACGATAGCCAAAAGGATGGAAATTTTCATAATTCGGAGAGAAACCATAAAGAAGCTCAAAAGGGGACTTACCTCCAAGAAGCAGTGTCGGCAAGCGATTGATGATGTAGACTGCAGTGCTGAAGGCGTCAACCCAGAAGCGAGGAGAAAGATGAGAGTGGAAAAGAAGAGCTAGGCCAGTCTTAGTCACATGGCAATGTTTCCTTTCGGTGCAACCATTTTGAGCAAGTGTGTATGGGCAAGATAGTTGATGATGGATGCCAGAGGTGTGCTTGGAAACGATTGCTAGTGAATTTTGTACCACCATCACTTTGAAAAATTTTGATACGCGCAGAATATTGATTTTCCACAAATTTTTGAAATTGAAGGAAAATATCGCAAAGTTCAGATTTTAAATGCAAAGGGTATAGCTAAGTTAAGCGAGAAAAATCATCAATGAAAAGAACATAATAGACAAACCCTAAATTGGATTTGATGGGGGAAGGGCCCCATATATCACAATGAATTAAATCCAACACATTAGATGATTGATGTTCATTACACGAATAAGGCAAACGATGATTTTTTGCAATTTGACATGTACTACAAAGCATTGGAGAAGGCAATAAGGATGTGAGATAAAGATGACATTTTTTACTTAAAAAAGAAATAATGGAGTGATTCACATGTCCCAGACGAGCATGCCATAAATCATATGAGGCATGAAGCGATTTATTTTTAAGAACAGAAATAAAGGTGGGATGTCCACGCTCCAACACATATAAGCCTCCATCTTGTTTACTGGTTGCCACTACACAGCTTGATACTTGGCTTTGATACCATGAGACAGTTTGAAGAGAGTTCACCACACAGCTTGAAGTGGTGAGTATGTCTATTTATATAGATGTACAAGTTGCCCTAGAATATTTACAAATCAATCTAGAATATTTACATATCAATTACAATGGAAATGATGGAAAAAATATCGTAGAATTTAGGCTAGAATCATGGGTCAAAATTGTTACAAATATTATGCCTTAGATTGAGGCAAAGTATCCTCAACACCTTTAACTCACTAATTTATACATTTTTGCTCAGAAAATCAAATATATAAGAAATCTCGTTAACAAATATTGAACTTTAATTGAGATTTACGGAAGAGAATTTTGAGCACCTCAAACAATACCTGTCATATCATAAATAAAGTGTTCTCGAATTTCATGATCAACATTAAGTTTCATTTGCCCTGCAATAAAATTTAGCATCATGTAAATTTTTTCTGAACTAGGATGAGTTTTATCATGAGCTATGAATCTATGGAGAGTTCCAAACATCTCTACAAAACTACAACCAGGATACTTTTTCACTCCTCTCAACTCCATGGCTTCCCTCATTGTTCTTGCATCATCCCAGCGTTTGGAAATCGCATAAACATTTGATAACCCAATATATCTGCCATCATGATCTGGTTCCAACTCAATAAGCTTCTTTCCAACTATCTCTGCAAGATCCAATTTACCATGGTTCATACATCCAGTGAGCAGAGCACCCAACATTGAAGCTGTTGGCTTCATGGGCATTTGACACACAAAATTGTATGCCTCTGCTACTCGCCCAGCACGTGACAGAACATCAACAACGCAAGCATAATGCTCACTCTTTGGCGTCATGCCATATTTACCAAGGCAATCAAAGAAATACCAAGCTTCAGTGACTAAACCTCCATGGGCACAAGCACTCAACAAACACAAGAATGTAATCTCGTCTGGGGTGATCCCAACTATTTGCATTTCTTTGAACAATTCAAGCGACTCTTTAACCAATCCATGCACTGCAAGCCCTCCAATCATGGCATTCCACATCAAAACATCGCTACGATCCAATTTAACTCCACGAAACACAGACAAAGCCTCCTTGATTGCCCCACACTTGGCATACATATCAACAAGAGAAGTTTGCAGAACCAAATTCAATGGCAATCCATTATCAACCATGTACTGATGCATCATTCTCCCTTGATCAAGGGCACCCAAATGTGCACAAGCACACAACACACTCACCATAGTCACCTCATTGGCCTTGGGACCAACACCTCTCATTTCCTCAAAAATCGTCATAGCCTCCTTGTAATCCCCACTCTTAACGTACCCATCAATCAAAGAACTCCAAGACACAACATCCTTTTCTGGCATCAAATCAAACACTTGTCTTGCCAGATTCATTTCCCCACACTTAGCATACCCATCCAACATAGAATTCCAAGAAACCAAGTTCTTGAAAGGCATTCCATCGAACAATTTACGGGCATAAATTATGTCGCCGCAGGAAGCGTACAAATGAATCAAGGAGTTTGCAATAAACCTATCGGACTCATACCCAGTTTTTGCAGTGTGAGCGTGAATTGCCACGGCAAGTTCTCGCTTCAGAAGGCGGGCAGAGGCCTTTATAACAAATGGGTACGTTAAATAATCTGGTGAGAGTCCAAGTCGCAACATTTTAACAAAAAGAGAGATGGATTTGTTAGGATTTTTGCTATTGGAGTAACCTCTAATGACAGTGTTCCAATTGAAGATAGATGGGTTTTGTAGATGTAACAAAATTTTGCACGAGTAATCGATGTGAGCAGGATGGGAAAGTGCAGTGAAAGAGAAGAATTTTGATAGAAAAGGGTCATGCTGGGAGAGATTAAAAGTGAAAAATAGAGCATGAAGTTGTTTTAGCGAATGCAGTGACTTGCATTTATCAAGGAGAGTAATTATATTTCTAGATAACAATGATACATCCGACATTTACAGGAAATAAAACCTCAAAGGCTCAAACACACTTTCAAAATCTAGCGATGGAGGGAATGCATATAGCGAACATATATACGTAAAGAACCTGGAAGTGAAGTGAGAAGAGACTGTCAGACAGAAGGGGTTAAATTAAAATCACACTACAGTATTAGCCATTTAGCCTTGGGATAATGTAAGGACTAAGGATTAATGGTATAGTATTAGCCTTAACAAAATACGAGGTTCAATGTTATAAATTTAAGAGTAATGCTATGTGCACTAACTAATATGTACTAATCTAAGTACTAACATTGGAAATTTGAAATTTTTTTTTGGAGAGAATTTCAAATTTCCAATGTTAATACTTAGATTAGTACTCATTGGTTAGTGCACATAGTTTTATTCTAAATTTAATTACAAGGACGAATTTAATATCCAAATAAATAACGATGATATGTGTTAATGATTTTTTTCTTTTCTCCCTGATAAGAGAAAAACACCAATTATATATTCCTTCCATTTCCAAATAAATGTCATTTTAAACATATTATTTTTTTCCAAAATAATTGTCATTTGACCAAAAAGTAGAGCAACCCTTTCTCTCTTTCTCGTATTATGACCCTTGTCTCCTCTCTTTCTCTCTCTTTCTTTGGCCTCTCGCTCCTCTCTCTTTCTCTGACCCCTCGTCTCCTCTCTCTCTCTCTCTCTCTCTCTCTCTCTCTTTTTCTTTCAAACGTCATTTAACTCTTCACATTTCTCTCTAGTTTCAAATCTGGGACACTACTAGTCAAGAAATGTTCAAAATTGTTACTTCTGCTTACTATAGAGGTGTCGTCGGTGCACTCGTTGTTTATGGCATTACCAGAAGAAATAGCTTTGATAGCATTTATGATTTAACACTGGCTTGCCTTTGTTCATTTGTGATGTTTTTCCAACTCATATAGGTATCAACTTCCTAGTTATATCATCAACTTCATTAATAGCTTCTAATATTGGAGATTTCCCTAAGCATGTATCTTCTACTATGACATTGTCCAAAAATTTTCCCACCACAGTGAGAGGGGAGAGTAAATAAAAGATAAGAGTAGGAGAGAGAATTTGTTTACATTAAAAAAATTAGTATATTAAAAAGTGTACAATTTGTTAAAATGACAAATTTTGAAAGGGAGGGGGTAATATTTGTATAAACTATTAATAGTAAAAATTTAATAATATTTACACAAAATTTAACATAGAAAAAAAAAGAAAATATACAACATGATTTTCTTTGCGGAAAGAAGAAAAAAGAAACAGATTGTACGATTTCATATTAAATAAGCCAATAATAATATTACCAACTTGTTAGAAAGTGACAAGCAAGCATGTTTAAGACTGTACTACAAGCCGGAGTAGAGAGAGTTGGATGATTCTGAAGCAATTATATAATTTAACTTTCACCATCTTCAATCCAAAACATTCAAATAACTGGCTGCAATTCCAGTCACTTATATGAAGATGGCCATATAGCTACATCTACTAAACTAATTCCCCCAAGGCAAGTATCAATATCAATACCAATATCAGCATTTCATTCAAACATGAACGTGTACAAGCAGGCTTTTTTTGTTTTTTTCGCCTTTTGTTTTCCTCTACGAAAACTACAGTCTGCATAATTAAATATGCCATGGGATGGATTATCATTCTGTGTCACCTTGTGCGTGACTTAACATTAGCTGTGCCCAGAAGTGGAAACCTCGGTACTGCAAACGGGGCACACCTGCATTCACAGAGCTGTAATTAGCACACACACATGAAATACCACATATCATTCTAAACCAAAACATTGTTATACCATTTTCAACTCTATACAAACTACACAAGCAATTATGTACATGAGAAATCAGTTCGAGCATTGAGCTAATGAAAACTCTAAAATACTCAAATAAAAATAATTATAAAAGATGACAAAATGTATTCAGACTAAGTGCCTAACCAAGAAAACATTCATACAATAATCTATTATCAAAAGTCTGAAAGTTTAATGGCATGTTTACATATTTGTATCAACTATAAACATTATTTAGAAGCACATTTGCCAGTTGAGAGAATAAATGACAATTTTTTCCATTCAATCATGTGAAACAATCAAACGTCACCTTCCAAAGGAATCCAAACAATTTTCTTTGTTAAGCTACTCAGTGCAAAAATACAAGTGGAAATTTAAAAATATTGCAGTCAGCTAGATGATCATGTTACCTACAAGCTCTGTTATTCCTGTGAATACAAATGACAGCAATGATGATAAAGTATGCACCAATTGATTGCAGTGTACCAACCGGCAAAAAAGCAGTGAAAATCTAAATGGGAACTCAAATTTAACCAAAATCCATACGAACCTCTAAAATGGAGAAGTAAGTGAAGCTGAAAGTGATTATAGCATGGAATATAGATCCAAATCTAACAATGAAAATCGTTATAACTCACTTTCACCCTAATGTCTAACAAAATATCACTTGTATATATATGATATCACCATGGACAACCTGGCTATCAAAAAACTAGGTAGATCCCAGGTTCACAGATTATGAACAGAACAATTCTCTACAAACATCGAAACAACCAACATATAGTAAAGATCACTCAGACAACTCAAATTTCAAAAATCCATTCGAATCCCAAAAACAGAACAATTTGAAGTTTGAGTAGATTATGGTGTGACCTCAAATTGTGAGTGAGCACTAGAAATTGGTAGAACCTCAAAAACAGAGGCTCATTTCATAAATTATGTTTCAGATAAATGGGAAAAAGACATGAAGAATTATCATGCATGTTACTTAAGATAGCAGTGCCCAGAAACAAATGACAATGCCACAAATTAAGCATAATCTGAGCCAAATCCAAAATATCATTTGTGGTTTCACACATTTAGATCAATAAACTAGATGAAACTTCAAAGATCCATATTAAAGAGTAGTTACATACCCCACCCCTCCAGAAATCTTAATTTTTATGCCATGATAGCTGATAGATATGAGAAAAAATTTAAGCAGCCATGAATTGAATCACAGAAAATTTAAGCAGGAAAAATTGCTATAACAAAAACAGCCATGAATCACAGCAAAAGCATGGGTTTGTTGAGGTCAGAACTCCATTGGGACAGCAAAGAATTAAGTTCAAAGAACAATATATCTCCTAAGTGAACTCACAGAGAACATTAAAGTTCCAATAGAAGATTAGCATTAGACAACATTAAAGTACCAGAGGAAACTCAAAATGTGCATAACTGTACCTTGTTTATTTTCAACCAATTGTTTATGCACTCAGAATGGTATGAATGCTTGCAAGAAAGCAGTGTTAAAGTCTCATCAGCCTCATAGTCCAGGCGACAAATGACACATCTGAGACGGGCACAGAAATTTAACCATCACATGACTGTTAGTTAAACATATAGATTTAAGTTATTAGCACTCACGAATCATTGCTTCCATTCTGACTGCCTCCCGTCTTATATTTTATTGTTGGCAATGAGGCAAGTGTATCAGTTGAAAGACCTCTGCTCTCTGTTCCAACCACTTCACCCAATGCAAGCAACTCCTGAGATAATTAAATTATACAATGAGAAGTGCAATCCGAATGAAGCTTCACAGAAAGTAGTAGGATCAAAAACAAGCTAACCTCGTACGAAAGTTCATCTGGATCTACTTCCTCCCATGCATCCTGCAAATGCAAAAGTATGTGATGCATGCATACAAAACAAGATTAAATACGATAAGAAAGCTTGAAGAGATAAAAAGAAGTAAAATACTTTCAAACTGGAACACGTGGAACTAACAATAGCTGTTTTAAGACCCCCCTTCCCCCCAACTAAAAAAAGGAAAATAAATCTGTTGATTCCATCCTGCTAGTATAAATGGGTAAACTACTCTCCAGGGGCACATTATATCCTTCTCAAAGGTGCGATTTGGCAACCTGTTGACAGAGAATGCTTCTATCCTAATCTCGCAAAGTACTTTATTTATTGTCCAGAAGCTTGGGTATGCAGGGAAACAAGAAAAGTAATTATAGGCAAAAATGACAAAGTTATCATAGGATTCATGGCCCAAATAAAATGCTAAAATGAGCAGAAACTAAAGTCTTGAAAACTAGATGACCATGGTCCACGAAGATTGGGCAAGCAGATAATTGTTATGCAATAATTCTATTTTAATGCACTAAAAAGGACTGCTATTAGAGCACAAAACTAAAGCCATCTGAAATTGAATTTTTGGAGGACGATAGTTCCTCTTAAAGTATTTTTTATATCAGGATCAGTGGAAACTCAAACTATGCCAAGATTGGTGCTTCACTCAGTGATACTGGCCTTACTTGACCATGAAAAGCATGAGTTTGAATCTCAGCAAGCAAAACTATGGCACTTCCTTGTACACTCTCTTCATAATTTCATATGGAAACCATTTTTCACCAATTCCACAATTAGATCAAATCCTTCTTCAAAATTTATACATATCAAACTTACTATCAATTGGATGCCCAAAGTCACTGGATTAATAAATTAATGACTTTTCTTCAATAGAAAAATTATTTTAAAACTCTAATAGCAAGTACCATATGGAAGAACAGCTCCTAATAGTTCAAATTACATAAATGGTTAGTATTTAAGAATTTAAAGTATGTAAAAGCTAAACATGGGCTTGTAGGAATGACAGGACACACAAAAACTTATTTTATTAGGACCATCAAATTTTTACAATAGCGAAATGTGATTTGACAGTTTTTTTTTCCTTTTTCATTTTGAGTAAGGCAGCAAAAAGAAGGAGATGCCAGGTGAACCTTAGATAAAGTTGTTATAAACTTGCTTTTACAGGACAAACATAGTTAGTATAAAGTTCATTCCAGCACAGAAAATAATACTAAATGAGGTGTGGATAGCTAATGAACGTCTCACTTCTAGATTATCAAAATCACATTACCAACACCAATAAGGTAATAACTCCAAAAGGTGCATACAAGATCAAGGAATATTGCCTAAAAGATAAAGGGTAATGGAGCTAAATCAGTCCATAAGGACCAAATAAGACTTATCAGCAGAATAAAACTGCTGAAATCAAGAGAGAAAGACCCAGTATGATTCCTCGAAAAAGGCCAAAAGTTCCATGACTAGCAATCTTGCATTAACTGCAGATATGAGCTAGAGAAAAAACAGAATCCTTATCAAGTTTATTACTCTATAACAAGATATTGACCAGAAAAACTTAGCCAGGATGTCAGAAAGAGAATGATTCATAAACATATTCTCAGTGTCAATCACACAGATTTATCAAGAAAACTGCTAAATCCAAAGACTGTTGCTACAAAGCATCTCCAAGAGTGCCTGCCTTAAATTCTAAATGCTTACTGAGCTAAATTGGAAATTGGAACTTATCTTCCACACAGTTTATATAGATCTATTGTAAGATCATTCATTTCCTCAGCAAAAGTAGGATTCTTCAACATAAACAAAATGGATGTAAAATGACTTTTACGTGAAAAAGAAAATGAAAAAATTATTTCAAGCAATGCTTCAGTGAACAGCCAAAACCTAAAGAGAAGAGTGGCTTATTTCAAGCAACAAAACTTTTAGCACGCACATCACCATTACTCCAATTATTAATAAAAGTAGTTTTCAAAGCGTTAAGTTCAATTCACTGGTTTCAAAAAACTTCAATCATCTTAATCAACTACAACACCCTATGATTTGATAAAAGGTTCAAACAGGTCCTCAAGGCATGTGAGCAAAAGAAGACCCCATAAACACACACACATTGAGTCACAAGCGCATGAACAAAAAGCAATGTCTAGATTAATAACAATCAATTTGCGAGATGGTATCTTTTAAGTATAAGATTCTCACCGAAGGAGGGGAAGGGGAAGAGAGAGCTGTATGAGGAGACAGAGAAATCAGTACCTGAGAGTTACCACCATGATCCTCTGGGTCCTCAATTTCTCCTGCAATGAATAGACAATTCAAACTCTGGCAATTGGATAACCGCAAAAGCAGTGAAATGAATATCAAGGGATAATAATTGTTAAGCCCACATACGATCATTTATTCCAGCGAGGGCTAACAATCGAGCAGTCATTTCTCTTTCTTCAGCATCCTGAAGTGCTCTTGCGTATGCCTCATCACTTGAAAAAACATCAGAATCATATTCGACACTAGGGTTGTTATCCTCCTCCGCATCTTCATCATGATCATGCACATCAAATGCATCTTCATCATCATCATCCTCATCATCTTCAACATCAGTGCCATCAAACTCCTCATTCTCATTTCCCTCTTCATCAGTCTCATCATCTGGCCCACCAAAATCATCATCTTCATCGTGCAAATAGCTTCCAGCTTCCCAGCTTCCATAATCACTCCCATCATTGTTCATCCTCAACATCATATATGCCCTCTCCTACTCACACAATCAATCAACTAATCGATCAAGCAATCAAAACAATCGTCAATGAGATAAATCATAAATTGCTAGAATTAAATAGAGGACCTGTTCTTGAAGGGTTCGGGCAAGAGCCAGGTCAGCATCGACCTGACTGAGATTAGTGAAAGGAGTTCTTGCTCTCGATGGCGTCTGTTGTTGATCTTGGTTCAAGTTGGACCCCGTGTTCGGTTCTTCTGCAACTACTTGTTCAGTCAAGTCATTGTTATTGTTAGGGTTCTCTTCCTGCTCTCCTTCGAGGTCGTTGTCGCTTCCATTGTTGGCTGTTTTGGCCTTGTTGTCCATCAATTTTCAAGATTTCGATTCAAAAAAACAAAATTACTTATTCCGTGAGGCTGTTTTATTAAATTGGTTTTCAGAGGGTTCGATCGAATCAGGAATTTGTCGAGAATCTTATTAGGTATATGATAGGCACCGAATGATTGGAGAGATAGAGAAATACTAAATACGAATACGTGTTATGCTGTATTTGAAAATCGAGAGAGAAACGAAATGAAAAGCTAGTGGCTCGTTCTTGGGCCGGCCCGGGCTGGTTCGGTAGAAGTTGGACGTATCCAATTGTTATGGACCGTCTAATAAAGTGGACCAACTGCCCACTGAAATTGCCGAAGAGAGTTTGAATCATGTTACGAAGGAAGCGGTGGTTCATGAAATTGGCACCCCCTACAGTTTTGAAAATTGTAAAGAGATGGTAAGTTCGGGATGTTTTAATCAATTTCTCCCTAACATTTCAAGATACTAGGAAAAACCTTACCAAGTGTTTCTTTAGTAGACCGTTAAAGGTAAAAAAAAATCTATTTTACCTTGATTAAAATATATTAGTGAAGTAATTAAGAAAAAATATTAATTTGAAATGATAAATGGTTAAAATATCAAAACATAAATTATAACAAGTATTTCATTTTATTTTGAAATTTACCATTTGCATGTTACAAAAGTTCTCTTGAAAGGTGTTATACTCAATACGAAAGTGCAAGCGTCATTGTATTAAAAAAGTTCATTGCATGTCAAAAAAGTTTCCGTAAAAACCCTTTTTAGCATCTTTTAGATATCAATTATGATGCAACATGATTTTATCCAAGTAAACCGTTTCTTAGACTCAATACAAAAATGTAAGCACCATCATATTTGTGGATATGATTATACATATGTTGAAAAAATTCCCCTAAAAGACTTTTGTATTGTTTTCGAGTTGCCGATTGTGACCGAACTTGCTTTTATTCAAGTAAACTATGTCTTATACTCAACATGAAAGTGCAAGCATCATCGTTTTTAGGAAATTCAAAATATATATTTGACAAAAGTTCTCATAAAAAGCTTTTGTAGTGTGTTCGAGTTGCCGATTTTGACACAACTTGGTTTTATGCTAGTAAACCATGTCTTACACTCACTACGAAAGTCCAAGTGTCATCATATTAATGAAATTCACTATATGTATGTTGTGAAAACTCATATAAAAGGCTTTTGTAGTGTGTTCAAGTTTTCCATTGTGACAAATTTCAATTTTATGCAAGTTAACCGTGTCTTGAACTCAGAATGAATGTGCAAGTGTCATTGTACTTGTAAAATTCACTGTTCATATGTCACAAAAGTTCTCGTGAAGGCATTAGTAGCATTTTTGGGTTGTCAATTGTGACGCAACTCGATTTTAGTCAAGTAAACCATGTCTTACCCTTAATACGAAAGTACAAGCGTCATTGTGTTTGAGAAATTTACTATATATGTTTTGCATAAGTTCTCGTAAAAGGATTTCATTGTGTGTTCGAGGTACCGATTGTGACATAACTTAATTTTATGCAAGTAAATCATGTCTTACACCCAATACGAACAAGCGTCATCGTATGTAGAAAATTCACTATATGTCAAAAAAGGTTTTTTCAAAGGCTTTCATAGTGTCTTTGTGTTGTTGAGTGTAAGGCAACTCAATTTTATGCCTCACATATATGTCGAAAAAGTTCTTGTCAAAGGCTTTCATAGTTTTTTTTAGTTGTCGACTATGAGACAACTCGATTTTATGTAAGTAAAGTATGTCTTACACTCAATACAAAAGTGCAAGCCTCATCATGTTTGCGAAATTCACCACACATAGCTCTCAAATGTTCTCATAAAACGTTTTTGTTGTGTTCGAGTTGTCGATTTTGACGCAACTCGATTTTTTGCTATTAACCAATGTTGTACACTCAATACCGAAAGTGCAATTGTCATTTTATTTACATATGTCGTGAAAACTTTTGTAAAAGGTTTTCGTAGTCTGTTCGAATTTCCAATTGTGATATAACTTGATTTTATCTAAATAAATTGTGTCTTGAACTCAAAACCAATGCACAAGCATCATTGTATTTGCGAAATTTATTGCTTATGTGTCAAAAAAGTTCTCGTAAAAGTCAGTAGAAGCTTTTTCAAGTTGCCAATTGTGACGCAATTTCATTTGTTGCAAGTTAACCACATCTCACTCTCATTAGAAAAGTGCAAGCTGCGTCATCATGTTTACAAAATTTACCATATATATTTCACAAAAGTTCTTGTAAAAGGCTATAGTTGTGTGTTTGAGTTGCTGATTGCAGTGCAACTTGACTTTATGCAAGTAAACCATGTCTTACGTTCAATATGAAAGTACAAGCATTATCGTATTTAAGAAATTCACTATATATGTCAAAAAAGTTATTGTCAAAGGTTTTCGTAGTGTTTTCGATGTTTCGATTGTGAGGCAACTCAACTCTATACAAGCAAACCATGTCTTACACTCAATACAACATTGCAAGCGTTATCGTATTTAAGAGATTAACTGTATATGTTGAAAATGTTTCTGTAAAGGGCTTTGTAGCGTTTTCGTCTCACAGATTGTGACACAATTGGATTTTATATGAGTAAATATGTCTTACACTTAATACAAAGTACAAGTGTCATCGTGTTTATGAAATTCATTATGTATGTCAAAAAAGTTCTTGTCAAAGACTTTCCTAGTCTTTTCTTTTTGTCGATTATGAGGCAACTCGATTTAACACAACACATATATTCGCACAAGTTCTCGTCAAAGGCATTCTTAGCGTGTTCGAGTTGCCAATTGTGATGCAACTCGATTTTACGCAAGTAAATCATGTCTTACATTTACAAAAGTGCAAGTGTCATCATACCATACTTATACATACATACATACCTATGTATAGCTATACATAGGACTGTTTAACGAACCGAACTGCTCGTGAGCCGGCTCGAGTATGGCTCGTTAACGGCTCAACTCGATTGAATTCGAGCTGGCTTAGCTCGATTCATGAGAGGATACGAGCCGAGTTCAAGCCTGACTCGACTCAGCTTATTAGGCTCGCGAGCCCAATCAGGTGAACTAAACAAAAAACTTTAGTTCACTTCACTTAATTAAGTCAAATTGATTTGGCAATTTACACATTTTATTTTGTTATTATATATATATATATATATATATATATATATATTGATGTTTGGGGATGTAATTTGATGTATATTTATGTAACCCCCCATTTTATTTTGATGAAAACTTAATTAAGTCTTCACTTCGTTTAATTTGTCGTACATACTTAACAGAGCTTTAGTTGTTGTGTAATGTATCAGGACAGGAAATAGGTTGAAGTGCATGAAATCTGCTCTTAATTAAAAAAAAAAAAAAACTGCATTTTTTTTGCTGGCCCGTGAGTCGACTTGAACTCGGCTCGTTAAGCAAGCTCACGAGCCTGACTCGAAATCCATGCCTCCCTTCGCAAATCAAGTTGAGCCAGGAAATCCGCAGCTCGGCTCGAACTCATTTCCTCCTCCCCTTTCACAAGCCGACCTTGTTAAGCCTAAAACTAGGCTTGGCTCAGCTAAAAAACAACCATACCTATATATAATACATACCTATTATGTATAGGTATACATCGGTATACATGTATGTATGTATACCTATACATATATACATACATACATTTATAGGTATATTTATAATCTTATGTATGTATGTATGTATGTATACATACATGTATACTTATGTATATACATATATGCCTATACATATTTCATCTATGTATACCTATATCTATGTATATCTATTTACATAGATACATAGATGTATGTATATGTATATCTCTATGTTAAAAGGTATAAATAGATATAAGTATACATAGATGAAATATGTATAGGTATACAAACCAATGTATACATAAGTATACATAGATAAAATATGTATATGTATGTATAGGTATACATAGGCATACATACATATGTAATCTATGATACCCAAGTATAGTATACATACCTAAATATATTTCATCTATGTATAGCTATGTAGGTAGGTATACATAGAAGAAAAAGATTCTGATATGAAAACAATTACTCCAAAGAGTTGAAAGTTTGTTGGGTGAGGAATATTAAGCTTATTGTAAGTAGTAAAAGAGATAATAAATAAGTATTGCGACTATAAAAGAAAAAAGAGTACAAATTTGCAAGATGAATTTTGGATATAGGAGGAGGATTCAATTGTTAAAAAGCCACAGGCATAGAAATGTAGAATCTTAAGGCCTCATTGGAATGTGCCAAGAAAATGAAGTTTTGCTCCTTGCAAATGCAAAGGCGTGCAAATTCTCACCATATTTATGTGAATTTAAAAATGAATATCAATCTAATGAAAAAGAAAAGTCAAAAGAGAGAGACTAAATCCTTTGAGTTTCAATAGGACGATTGAGGATTAATTTAGAGCTTGGCATCTTCTTTCGTTTATTTTTACGATCCTTAATGCAATTCCGTCTAACTCGCCGATTCAGCTAACTGCATAAACAACACAACCAAGTTAACTTGCTAAAGAGATTCAAATGGCTTGTATACCTACATAGGTATACATAAGTATATATAGGTATTTATATAGATATAAATAGGTATACATAGGTATGTACATGGATATACATAAGTAAAAATAGGTATATATATATATAAATATGTTTAGGTATGTATAGGTATACATATGTATACCTAAGATTCCTATCATCGATTGTGTTTTATTATTATTATTATTACATCTTGATTGCTCTCGAGTTTTGTTTGAATTCTCATAATTTTTTTAGAAAATTTCATTGACGTCCTAATTTAATAATAATTTAGAAATGTAATGAAATCACATGTTCTTTTGTTTTAAAACTATAACACGTTCTAACTAAGAAAGAAAGCATTACATGTCGCATTCTCTAATGAATTAAAAAAAACAAAACATATGGTAATTTTTACTACTTAGTGCCTAAACTTGAGGTTTTCTTAATAATGGTCAAATTTAAGTTCATTTATTACACAAAATTCATTCCCTTAAAGCAAATAAGA